TGTGCTTCTTGAACATTTTATTCTTGTTCTTGGCGTTTGGACATTTTGGTTTTATATGCCCAACTTCTCCACACCCATAGCATTTGGGTGGACTTCCTTGCTTCTTTCCTTTCCGTTCATACTCTTGGCTCATGAACTTATGGAATTTCTTGAGCACGATCCCGAACTCGTCTTTGTCACTCGAGTCCTCCACATCAAGTTCTTGACTTGTGGACGCCTTGAGTGCAATCCCATTCTTCTTTTGTTCACCTAAAGAGGGGTAAAGAATGGTAGACTCATAGGTTTTGAGGTTACCTCTAAGTCCGTCAATGGTGACACTGGTGATGCCGATGGATTCTTGGATAGCATCGGCTTTGGAGCGCCATTCCGGTGTGAGACTCCGCAGGATTTTTCTTACAAGCTCCTTGTCCGTATATGTCTTCTTGAGAGCATGAAGATCGTTTACGATTTTTGAAAATCGTTCAAACATATCGTCGATTTTCTCGTTCTCCTTCATATGAAATAGTTCATACTCATGGGTTAGAAAATCTATTTTAGCTTCTCGGACTTGATCCGTACCTTCATATGTGATTTCTAGCTTGTCCCACATTTCCTTGGCGGTGGAACAACAAGAGATCTTCCGGTAGTCATCCGGGTTTACTGCACAATTAAGAATGTTGATCGCCTTGGCGTTGTTCTCTATTTTCTTGATATCCTGCGCATCGTATTCATCTTCGGTTTTGGGAACGGTGGTTTCCCCAACTTTCTTCATGGGTACTTCTTCCCCATTCTTGATAATTCTCTATAGAAGAAAGTTGTTGGATTGGATGAAAATTCTCATTCGCTCCTTCCAATATGTGTAATTTGTTCCATCAAATAATGGAGGCCTCGTGGTGGATTGCCCTTATCCTAAACCTGCGTATAAGTTTTGAGTAGAAGCCATTGATCGTTTCTCTCAAACGGTTAAGTCTTTCAGAGAGTAAGGCTCTGATACCAATTGTTAGAATAAAGGCCCAACGCTAGAGGGGGGGTGAATAGCGTTTAAAACAAAATCGCAGGAATTTAAAACGAGAGCGTTGAAGTAAAGAGCGTAAGGAAGGAACACACCGGATTTTATCCTGGTTCACCACAACGTGTGGCTAATCCAGCCCCCCGAGAGACTCTCTCGAGCTACACTAACTCCGTTAAGCTTAAGGGTGCTTAACAAACCGATACAACTTGAGAACCCGAGTCACACGAGCCTCAACACCTTTGCTCAGAGATACCACACTCCAAGACTTCTCACGAAGGAACAAGAAACTTCCTTCGAGTTTTACAACAAGGGAACAACCTCCCTTAAAGTGTATGAAAACACTTAAACACTCAGGAATAAAACTCTCACAAAGAGTAGATATGAGTGAACTAGTAAACGCTCAAGAACACGACAATTTCTTCAAGAATTGGCTCTCAAATAGCTAAGAAAAATAGGAATGCTTATGCAATGAAAGAGTATTGAAATGTTGAAGAATTGTGTGTCAAATGAGAGGATTTGGGTGCCATTTTATAGCCCAAAATGGGATAAACCCGTTGCTAGAATTTCCAACAGGATGAAGACAAATTTTTCAGGGACACAAGCTGATAGTCGATTGTCAAACCATGATAATCGATTATCCAAAGATTCCCTGTCCAAAAATTTAAAATTCTATCCGTTGGAGGACAACGGTAACCCAGATAATCGATTGTCAACAAGTGATAAT